GAGAGAGAGAGAGAGAGAGAGAGAGAGAGAGAGAGAGAGAGAGAGAGAGAGAGAGAGAGAGAGAGAGAGAGAGAGAGAAGAGAGAGAGAAGAGAGGAGAGAGAGAGAGAGAGAGAGAGAGAGAGAGAGAGAAAGAGAAACCAGAGGGTAGAAACAAGAGCCACCAGTTAGATAGGGACGTGGAGAAAGAAGGGCATTGACACCAAGACAAAGGGGGACAGGAAGAGAAGGAAGACAAGGAGAGTGGGGAGGGGAGAGAGGACGGGCCAAAACAGAGGGACACAGAGAGAGAGAGAGAGAGAGAGAGAGAGAGAGAAATCAAAGGGAGGAAACAAGATAGGAAAGGCAGCGGAGGAAGAGAAAACAAACCTTGAACCTCTGTCAATTCTGTTGCTTTTCGTTTGTGGATAAGACTCCGGAGATCTCCGCCTCCTTGAGTGGATTCGTCAGCAACTCTGCTCTCATATCAGGATACTGGCCAAATACAGGTGCAAAAAATGAATATGTTGAAAATAGAAAACAGTTGACCAGGTGCAAAAAAATCCATTACTGTGCAAAAAAACTTTTATTGTGCAAAAAATCCTTTATTGTGCAAAAAACAGGTCAACAACTTTGTAGTGCAAGAGTCTGCAGATGCAAAAACATGAAGATTTTGGAGATAGAAAGAGTGAAAACAGGAATTGGCTTTTGGGATAAGCATATGATACGTTATCACCATCCCTCTTTGCTACTGTCTTTCTCTCTTCTATCAGCTTTACCCAACTCCTTTTTTTTTTTGCCCCCACTCTTTTTGTTTTTTTGCTTTCCAATCCAATCAATCAATTCTGGTCGCAAATTAAATTCCTTCCCTTGTTTCCTCTTTTTTTTTTTTGCCCCTCCCACTTCAAAAATCCTGTCTTTCTTTTACTTCCAACAATAGTAATAATAATTCGCTAATCTCTTCTTTCACTAAAAAACTCAAAGTGGTCGAATTCGGTTTCCTTTTTCCAAGCCTTTTTTTGTTCTCAACTTCTCACTTCCAATCAAAGACATAAAAAATTAATGGCAGTGTATTATGGCCCTATTGATTTCTTCTTTGATCAATCTCTCTCTCTCTCTCTCTCTCTCTCTCTCTCTCTCTCTCTCTCTCTCTCTCTCTCTCTCTCTCTCTCTCTCTCTCTCT